AGCTCCTTGCTGTCCTAAAGAAACCTGCGGTTCCTGCCGCCTTGTAGACCTGTGCCAAGCTCCAAGAGATTCCTCCGGGTACCTGGGCCAGAGTGGTTTCCTGGCTTGTGGCTGTATGCTTACTTAAGTCCAGTAAGTTCTGCCTGATCTCCAGACAACCATGTCCCCTTCAGAGAGTGGGGGTTCCTCTTTCCCCACATACCCGTAGGTAGGAATACCCAACATTCTATTTTTAGCTAGTCTCACCATTGTGAAGTGCCCTCTCTCTCGTCAAAGTGTTTGGAGTTTTTCTGATGAAGAGGAAGATCTGCTCTTTATACACCTTTCCGCCCCTCAGGTGTCTCCTCCTGGGAAATCACCTGTTCATAGCCTTTGCCACTTTTCTGATTAGTTTCCTTTTTTTTTTTTTTGCTGGTCTATGGGGATCCCCTGTGCATCACAGATTCCTGTTGGTGGTATACATTGTACCCCATTGTTCATCAGTGACCTTTGTCTATGGCATCTTTATTTGAAGAGAAAAATCCTGAATTTTTCAAATGCATGCATTTCATTTTACTTGCCGTATGGTTTGTGCTCTGAGGACCATCAGAAATTCTCATGCTGTGTCATGAAGATATTTTTCTACATTTCACCAATTTTCTTAATAGTTCTATAGGTATTTAGCCTAATTGAATTGACCTTTGTCTATGGTATGAAGACCAGATTCACCTTTATTTAAGACAATTCTCTCAATAGCACCCACTAAACAGCATGTTTTCACCACTGAGTTGTGATTCTACCCTGTCCTACATGAAACTTTATGCACTTGTACAGGTGACTTTGATGTGCATGTCCACATGCACGTGTGTGTTTACTTCTGGTTTTGCCGTCTCTTCCCTCTGGCCGACTGTCAGTGCCTTCCAACTTCAGCACCCCAATCCTCATTCTTATGGCTCTATAGAATTTCTTACTTTCTGGTAGACAAGTGTCTCCTTTTAGCTTTTCTTTTTCAAAACTGATATACCTATTTACGAATATGTATTGTTATTTCTTGAAAGTATTTGTATTCCTCAAAAATACTTATTGAACTTTTATTGGAATTGGATTAGATTATGATAATAATGATACTTACTATTATTTTGATATAGAGATTGAACCCAGGGGTGCTTAACCACTGAGCCCCATTCCCAGCCCTTTTTATTTTTAGTTTTTCTCCACATTTTTTTATTGGTGCATTAGCCCTTTTTATTTTTATTTTTATTTTTGAGACATGGTTTCTCCCCGTTGCTAAGGGCCTGGCTATGTTGCTCAGGCTGGCTTCAGCCTCTGAGTCACTAGGACTGAATGCACCACCACACCTGGCTGGATTGAATTTTATTAATATGGAGAGAATTTGTTTTTTAAGATGTTAAATCATGGGGCTGGAGATGTGGCTCAGTGGCCTAGTATGTGTGAGGCCCTGAGTTTGATTCTCAGCACTGTATATAAATAAATTTTTTAAAAAAGGTCCATTGACAACTAAAAATATATAATAAAAAAAGATTTGAAATTGTATTATCCATTCATGATTTTTCTCTTCATTTAGTCACATATTTTTAAGAGTCTCTTAATAGGATTTTCAAAATTTCTCCATGAAAGTAACGATTCTTAGACATCCTGTGCTTAAATAGTAGCTGTGAGTGGATCTTATCTTATCTTAGTTAATTAGTGTTGGAGTAGAAGAAGGCTATTGGATTTTGAAAGTTTTTCTTGTATCTGACAATTTTACTTAGTTTTCTTATTAATCCTAATAGTTTTCTCTTGACTCTATTGCATTTTCTATAAAAATGGTTTAATTTCTAAATACTGGTAATTTTGTCTTCTTTAATCTTCACCTCTTATTTCTTTTTCTTGTTTTATTGCATTAGTTAAGCCTTCTAATACTAAGTTGAACAATACAGTAAAAGTATTGTAAATATTTTTAAAAATATTTTATTTTTGAGACATGGTATTTAATACAGTAAATATCCTTGGCTTGCCTAAAACTTAAAGGGACTTACATCTTTGGTTTCTCTGTTAAGTAAAATGTTTCATGAGGATTTGGGGTAAAGGAAGGGTCCTTCTAAGCTTTCTGCTTACACATGCAGAGTAAGTACTGCATCTCGGAGCTATATCCCCACCCTTTTCTGAGAAATTAAATCTCAACTGGGGATCCAGCTTTATCTCAGGTACTTTTTAAAAATTATCAAAAGCTGGGCGGGGTGGTGCATGTCTTTAATCCCAGTGACTCAGGAGGTGGGAGGATCACAAGTTCAAGGTGAAACTCAGCAATTTAGTGAGACTCTCAGCAACTTAGCAAGACCCTGTCTCAAAATAAAAAGTGAGGGCTGGGGTCATGGCTAGTGGCAGAGCACTTGCCACACATGTGTGAGGCACTGGGTTTGATTCTCAGCACTGTATATAAATAAATAAAATGACAACTAAAAGAGTATTTAAAAAAAAAACTAATTCTTTTAAAAAAATGTATATAGTTTCCTCCTTTGGATTCCGGGTTATAAACTAAAGTGATATATTTTCCAAAGTTGAATCATCCTTACATTCCTAGGATAAACCTTTATTGATTGTGATTTATTTGCTTAGTTCTTTCTTTAGTGCATTATCCATGTCATTTGTGTTTTCAAATCATTATAATTGGTCTTAATATTCCTTTTAATGCTCTTACTGTTTCTGAATGATTGTGTCTGGAATTCTCTCTTTCTTCATTCAGTCTTTCATTTGCATCTGCTGTCTTTTGGCCAGTCTTGGTAGATGTTTCTTATCTCCCTTACTTAGTCTTTTCCAAGAGGAGTCTTTGATTTGATTGTCTAGCACCTCCCGAAGCCCCCGCCCCCACCCCCACCCCCCCCAGAGCCATGAGAGGAAGACTCTGGAGTAAAGTGGATCTAGAGTCTTGCTCTGTCACATGTGAGCTCTAGGACCTTGGGCACATTATTTGCTCCCCCCACCCCCAGTTTACTTCCTCACTGTGAAATGGGAATAACGACACTTCCTTGCAATGGTGAGACTCAAATTACTTGAAATACTTAGATATTCCTGAGTACTTTAGCACAATGTGCACTGGAAAGTATTTAGCACATGCTGATTCCTGTCCTTGGTGACTATAATAGGCAGGGTTCTCCAGAGGAACAGAACCAGGTGTGTGTGTGTGCATGCATGAGAGAGAGAAAAGGGAAGGGGGTGGGGAGTTGCTTATTAAAGAATTGGCTTTTGGGATGGTGAAGATGCAAGTCCAGAATCTCAGGGGGCATCCAGAGACCCAGGGAAGAGTCGCCGTCCTGGTTCAAAGGCCATCTGCTGGTGGAATTCCTCCTTGCCCAGGGGAGGTCAGTCTTTGTTCTATGAAGTCCTTCAACCGATTAGAAGAGGCCCACCCACATTAGAGAGGGGAATCTGCTTTAGTGGAAGCCTGCAGTTTTAGTGCTATTCTCATCCAAATCATATCTTCATAAAAATGTTCAGAAGACCCTTTGACCAACTGTGTGGACCCTGTGGCTCAGTCAAGTAAACACATAAGATTGACTACCAAAGTGCCTATGTGGATGCTCTTCTCTATGCCTGCAATGCTACCTCCTAGACCCCAGAAAGGCCATGTGCTGACTGGCTGTAGATGGGGACAGCAGCGCGGTTGTCCCTTCCTCAGACAGAGTGCTCTGGCTTTAAACACAGACCTGTCACCATCTTCACGCACGTGCTCTCAATAACCTCTGCCTCTGACATCTCCCTGCCCCCCACCTTCACCCCAGTGTCGCATGGGCTCTCTGTAGCACTTGCACTGGCCAGTCAATCATTAACACCTGGGGCCGGTGTGCACGGTGACCTAGCCACCTCCTCTATTATTTTCTTCCTTGTTCATTCTCAGGGCACCTGGAGGCACCCTGTTCTTTGTCGTGGAGTATTCTTGTTCTCCCCTGGCTAGACACAATCTCCTTCTGCCTCCTCACTGTGTCCCATCTACAGCCTTTCAGACACTTCTCCCCTTTACCTCATGCCTTCATTAGTTCGTGCAGCTGTCTGACCCTCCCTCTGGATTACCCGAAGTGATTGTAGCTTATCTGTCTCAAACCTTCACTCTGCCTTTGGAGCCCAGAACCACTGATACCCGTGTTAATGATTGACTGGCTAGTGCAAGTGCTGTGGAGAGCCCTGGGCAACACCGTATTGAAGGTGGGAGGCGGGGAGACGTCAGAAGGCACGAGTGTAAAGATGGTGGCAGGTCTTTGTTTAAAGCCAGATCTGACCCAAAGCTGGCCCTTTCTTGGGTCACATGCACAGTGTTTGAGGCCAACTAGAAACACTTGCAGGTGGAGCCGAGAGAGGTTTGTGCAGGGAGATGGAAGCTGGGGTCAGGATGCTGGGTCTGCTCCAGGCTGCATGAGGCCTCTCGGGACTGGCTCTTGTAGGTGAAGGGCTCGCAGTGGTGACCCCCATCCGAGGATGGGGTGGGAAGGGCTGGGCACCAGATGCCTGGGCATCCAAAGCGACTGGTGCATTGCCCCATTGGTGCTTGAGAGCGCACGTGGCTCTGCACAGCTGCAGAGAGGTCGGATGCCCAGACCTGCTGAGAAGGCAGTGTTCAAGCAGATCTGTGGCTGATGGAGACCAGCCCATCCCCCCCACCTCACCTGGATGATGGCAGCTCCCTGTCCCTGCTCATTTCCTTGGGGCAGAAGGAGCAGCTTCTCTCAGCCTCCTGGCTCTACCCTGACGAGGCCTCTGAGGATGGGCTAGAAGTCCCCAGGATTGGGGGGAGGTGGGATTTTTGTCCAGGATTAAATCTGTGTATCAGGGCCTTTACCCGGGGCCCCTCTCCTGGGCTCAGATATGGTCTGAGATGGACAGGGACCTGAAGAATCCAGAGTGGTTCAGGAGGGGTGTTTACTCTTAGCCACCAGTTGCCACGGGGAAGCAGGTCCTCTCTGGGCAGGTGTGTCTCCGAAGACATGTGGTCACAACATGCCTCAGCAGGGCCCTTCCCCGTACAGGTCATTGCTGTGGTCATGGACCTCTTCACCGATGGGGATATTTTCCAAGACATTGTGGATGCTGCCTCCAAGCGCCGGGTCCCCGTGTATATCATCCTGGACGAGGCGGGAGTGAAGTATTTCCTGGAGATGTGCGGGAGCCTCGAGCTGGCTGACTTCCGTATTCGGGTGAGTGGAGCCTCTGGGGGATGGGAGGAAGCGGCAGGAGGTGAGACAGAGACTCCCCTCCCTGCCTCTGCTTCCACCACAGTCCAGGCCCTCAGATGAAGCTCAGGATCTCCACCCTTCTCCTGTCAAGAGCCTTGGCTCATGAACTGCTAAGTCATGAGTCCAGCTCAAGTTTTATCTCATGGCTGCCAAGATTGAAGACGGCAGTTCTGGCCCGTTCCTGGGGTGCTCTGCTGGCAGAATCACTGACTTTACTGTCAAGGTCAAAATTAGGGCTGCGATTCTCTTCTGGGGAACTTTGGGAGCAGACAGCATCCGGTGACTTCCTCTTGCTGTCCAAATGGAGCCCTCCACATCAGGAAGCAGAGGACCTGGTGAAGCTGGAGGGGCTGTGGATGCAAGGCTTCCTCTGCCCACGCAAAGCCCTGGCCCAGAGCCTCGCAGTCTCCCCCAGAGGGTGATGGTGCCTTTCTCCTCTTCCCAACAGAACATCCGCGTCCGCTCTGTGACAGGCGTTGGCTTCTACATGCCCATGGGGAAGATTAAAGGAACCCTGTCATCAAGGTTCCTGATGGTAGATGGTGACAAAGTAGCCACTGGATCCTACAAGTGAGTTGGGCCTGGTCAGAGAGGGCCCAGGAGGCCATGGGGACTGTTAGGAAGGTGCTCGGCCGGAGCCTCCACAGTCCTGAGTTTCAGGAGATGTCATCTGCCCCAATGGCAAACCGCCTCCTGCCCAGTCCTTCCCTCAAACTTTCTGGCTGATGGATTATTCCAAAAAAGAGGGTTGACTCTTGCTGGACATTAAGCACTGGCTATTTTTCATGGTCCTCGGTGACCTGTTGCTAGTTGACAAGTGGGACAAGCAAGAAGTAGAATGGGACCAGTTCTGGAGGGGGTGTGTGAGGGCACAGACGGGCAGGCGCTCCCAGGATTTTAATTTAAGAGTAAATTACCAGGAACATGAGAGTCTCTGTGTGTGTGTCTGTCCTCCAAGTAAATTAAAACCTAAGTGAGAAGAGAGCTGGGCACATGAAACAATTAATAAATGGTCTCAGTCCTCTATTGAGGTTAAAGGATGGGGCTTGCAGACATTGAGTGCTGTAAAATTTCAGAAGAGAACCCATAAGGAATGGGACAATTTCAACAACAATGGCGTCTCAGTTATCATTTATTAAGCGTGTGTTTGTGCTGAGCTAAATGTTTTAAAGAAGGTATTTCCTTTGAGTCTCACAACCACTCTGAGTTATGTGATTGTGCTGTGACATTTGGTACCTTGAGTCCTATGAGTCCCATTTTACAAGTCACACAAGACTGGAAACTAGGTTTGGATTCAAACTAGGTTTTGGATTCTCACCGTTCCCTGCATCTGCTGCCTGCTCTCTGCATCTGAGACCTAGAGCTGGGGAGAGGGAGGATCTGGGCTGGTGGAGAGAGAAGTCCAGCAGGAAGGCTGGCTTGTGCCCTGTCTTGTAGGATGCAGAACACATGGCACAGCAGTGAGGGGTGGAGGAGGCCGCAGGGAGGGAGGGCAAGGGAGAGACCTGGGCACATGTATCTGCTTTTCTGTCCCCATCTTCCCAGATTCACCTGGAGTTCCTCCTATGTGGACAGAAACCATCTCCTCCTCCTGACAGGGCAGTACACAGAGCCCTTCGACGTGGAGTTCCGGGAGCTATACGCCATCTCCGAGGAAGTGAACTTGTTCCAACAGCTGGGCCTGGCAGGAGGCGCTGGCAGACTTGGCCTCGACCGCTCCTCCACTGTGGCTCGCAAGCTTATCAACCCCAAGTATGCCTTGGTGGCAGGCAGCCGCCACCCACCAGGGGAGATGATGCGCTGGGCTGCCCGGCAACAGCGGGAGGCTGATGGCAACCTGGAGGGGCAGGAGGAGGGCAGCGGAGGTGGCGAGGCAGCCCGGCGCCTGGAGAGCTTCCTGAATGACCTGGTTACTATAGAGCAGGTGTGGCCCCCCGTGGATCCCGTCCCCTTGACAGATCTGAGCCACCCGAGGCTCAAATCCCGAGAGGCAGTCACCCAAAATGGCAAGGGAGATGCTGCCAACGGGGGCCCCATACCGGCCATGGAGGGCAAGCGTTTCATGGGCAGCAGGTTGTTCAGCCGCCGGGCCAAGAGGCCTGCAGCACCCAGCAGCAGGGCCGGCTCGCTGTCCCCCGAGGCCTGCCCCGACGTGGAGTTTCTGAAGGGGAAGAGGCCCACTGAGGACTCCAGCACCAACATCTCAGGTGAGCCCTCTCCTGGGGCCTGGCGTGACCCTCCCAAGGAGCACGGCCTCCTGTCTGCAGAGGGGCTGCTCCCAGGCACCGGCCAGCGGGAGGTCTGGGCTCCGAGGTGCCTCGGTTTCCATTCTCCCACTGGGTGTCCCTGGGCACAGTGTTGCTGCTCTGAGTTCAGGTTCCTCTTCTTTGAGAGGGGAGAGTAGGACGGGTCCTTCCCAGTGCTCACTAGGGTGGCGGGCATGGAGTCGCCCAGCAAGGTGGCATTACTTCCTTAGAGTAAGTCAATCAAATGAGAGACGTGCGGCCAGGCTCTCCTCAGAGAAGCGGGGGCTGCAGCCCAGCAGGGGCAGGCAAAGGCGCTGACTCCAGGGCTCTTTCTGGCTAACCTTGTCCTTGCTGGACCCCTGTCATCGGGATCCAAACTGGCCAAACACCCCACCCTCACCTGTGCCCTCCCGGCACCTGGCCTGGCTTCCTGTTTCTGCTGTAAAGAGTTTGCCTTGGTTTTCTCTGTGTCTATTTGATGAGTGGGTTTGTCCTCTGTGAGGGATTGACGGTGGCGCTGGTGGCTTCTTCCTGGCCACCTCTCTAGGATGCCCTCATAGCCTGGTCTGCAGCTGTTTAGGAAATGTTTGAAGTGTTTCCAGGCCCAACAGGGCAGGGAAGGTCCTGTGAGCCCCATTTTACAAGAAACATGTGGAGCAGTCTCCCATGTGGCCTCTTAGGAGAGTGTGATAGCCGGGCTGCTGTGGTGCCTTAGTCACCTGAGCGTGCCTGGGCAGAAGAACTCCTGTGCTGTGATTCCTCCCTGGGGGGGGTGGGGGGTTACGATGATGAGAACTTGGCCCCTTCACTGGCCGGGTATGGCGAGGCAGGCCTGAGGTCCTGTCCGCTGCTAAGTCTGACACACCAGGCTGTGCTTGTGGGATATGTTTGCTGCTGCTTTTTTTTTTTTTTTTTTTGTACTGGGGATTGAACACAGGGGCACTTCACCACTGAGCCATATCCCCAGGCCATTTTTACATTTTATTTAGAGACAGGTGCTCTCTAAGTTGTTAGGGTCTCACTAAGTTGCTGAGGCTGGCTTTGAACTCACGATCCTCCTGCCTCGGCCTCCAGAGCTGCTGGGATTACAGGCCTGTGCTATCGCACCTGGCTTCCTTTGCTTCTTGAAGTTGAGCAGGCCTGGGTATCTCTGATGTGGGCACAGCGGGAGCGTGAGGACCTTCCCCTGCCCTGTTGGGCTTGGAAGCATTTCCTAAGCAGTTGTAGGCCGAGCTCTGTGCGGATACACTCTCCCTTCTCCCTCCAGATAACCCTTTGAGCCAGAGGTGGCAGGTGGAAGTTGGGAGACGTGCATAAGTGGTCCCAGGGCATAGGAAGTGGTGGTGGGCCGGGAGTCAAACCCAGGCCTGGGCCCAGGCCCTGTCCTCTCAGGGGTGGGGAAACTATTCCCCATTCCCGTTCCCCTGGGCTTTCTGGCTCCCCCAACACCAGATGCTGCTGCAGCTCGGTCCCTCTGGTTGGAAGGAGGGTTGCCATGGTGAACACCTGGCAGGGAAGGGGAGGGGCGAGCCCAAACACAAGTCCTGACTGGAAGTGAGGTGGAAGCTTTCTCCTCCCTCGGCCCCTCACCCTGAGGTGCTGTTTCCATAGAAACCCAAGGCCCATTGTCTTGTCCCTTCCTGCCGCCTCCTGTGTGTCACTCAGCCTGGGGTTCCCTTCTTGGACTTGGGCAGATGCTGCCACTGCTGCCTGTCTCTGAGCATTTGCACACAGCGCCCTGGAGTCAGCCAAGCAGACCAGGCCTGCACCCTCGGGAGGCCCCTCTCCAGATGCCTGACATCCAGGCAGAGAGAGAGGGGCGAGGGCGAGGACGAGAGAGGCTGGCACGCACAGTCAGAAAGGTCTGAGGGAGCTTGAGCTGCCACCCCCCTCCATCCTCGGGAGGAAACATGGGGCTGCATGCAGCTCACCGTCACCCGCCTGGATGGGCATCCCATCCCCAAGGCCCTGAAATTCAAGTTCCTTTGTGAGCCCTCTCCTCCTGCTCCTTTCTTCCTCAAAGGCGGAGATGAGAAGCAGGGGCTCCTCCTGAAGGCCCCACTTAGCAGCCCCTGCCTCCCAGACACTGATGTGGTCAGAATGTCCTCAGTGCCTCCCCTCCACCCTCGGGGGGTGGGGCAGCTGCAGGACAGCTGGACATGAGAGGGACGGGCCCCTAAAGCCCAGGCCTAAGGTGGAAACTAGTAATCCTCCTATATCCAGAGCTGTGGTCCAGGAGGAAATCACTTCAGATTCTCTGTTAGGGCCCCAGTCCAGGGAAGGAATCCCCTTCCCACAGGGATGCTGGGGACATCAGGACAGCCGTGGTAGAGCTCTCTGCCGACCCACCCCCTAATTTCCCGAACTTGTCCCTCTCTTCTCTGGGGCTGTTTCCTCTTCTAGAAGATGAGGGGGTGATCCGGGGAGGTTTTCCGAGGTCCCTTTGAGCTGATTCACTCTGTCCTGTCTCTGCGCCCTTTTGTCAAGAGAGAATGTGGGTTGATGACAGGGTGGGTGAAAGAGAAAGAAAAAGCAAAGAGCTGACAGCCTGTAAAATTGCTTGATAAGAAGTATATAGTTGTCAAACAGCATGCAAATTTTTGCAAACCCAGGTGTGGCCCTTGGGAGAACCTCAGGGAAATCGCTTCCTCTGGGATTGGGGGTGGGGGGCGGGGGCAGGGGAGAGCCTGGTGATTCGAAGGCTCACAGCGCCCTCTAGTGGCGGAAGCTGGGCATCTTTTCCTTTTGCCTTTTCCCTTCATTGGACCTTGTCCCAGTGCAGGCTGAGCTCACCCCTTCCCTCCAGCCTGCCACCCAGCAGTTCAGGACAGGCTGTCTGGGGCAGAGATCCCCAGCCTCTGGGAACAATATCCAGGGTGTTAGTAGCATCTGGGGTGGGCTCAGGAATCCACATTTTAAACAAGAACCCCAATTTTCCCATTTAGTTCTTCAATGAAGACGGTCCTCAGACCAGCAGATGACACAGATATTCAGACGAGGCTGTGCCTGCAGGGAGCTGCCAGGCTAGGGCACGAGGTTCCAGGTGCTGTACCAGAAACCCCACAAGCTCCACCAGAGGGAAAGCTGAACAAGGCCGCTGGCCACCCCTGTTTAAGAAAGTTAAGAGAAACGCAGTGTGAGGTGCTCCCACACAGAACTGGGGTAGTCTTTACAAGCAACCTGCTGAAGTTATCTTGCAATCAAGACCCCTGGGCTTCAGGGAGGGAGTCCTTGTGTCCAGGGTCAGGCAGTGAGGAAAGGGCAGCACGGCCTGCACCTCGCAGGGCCTTCTGCAAAGCAGCTGTGGCTGTCTCTCAGAGGCCAAGGCTGGCACCTCCCCTACATCTTTAGACTGTTTGGACGAGCTGCAGGCCTCAGTGTAGACTGAACCCTTCCTGCTGGGTCCTACCAGCTGAGAGGAAGATGAGTGCAGAGACTTTTCTGCCGCAGTCTGGCTGGGCACAAATAACCAAGCTGCCACAAAGCCTTGTAGGTTCAAACAGCAACTCTTTATTCCCAAAGTCTCACCGGTACTCTACACACACTTCCCGGGAATACACTCCCTCCACCAGGCTCCACACACCAATTCTCCTGGAACCCCCGAGAGAACTCAAAGGGAACTGCAAAATAGTGGGTGCCCAGGCAGAAGGATCCGCCCTAATCCCGGAGCCACCCTATTCCCGGAGCAGGGTCACCTTTCAACCATTCCCTCTAACAAAATGCCAGGCGTCATTCCGACTAAACTGTGGCTCTCAACAGTTTTCCTCCCAGGGTCCTTTGAAGTGGCCATGCCTTTCCAGAACTCTCCTACCCGCTCCCCCCTCCCCAGTTCATGTTCACAGGGTTTAGGACCCTGGAGATCTCAGATCTCTCCTGGAAATCTGGGTCCCTGTCAGGAATGGGCTCTTGGGGAGATGCTTCCTGGGCTCAGAATTTCATAGGGACCTATGGGTGCCTGTTCCAGGCTATGTCTTCTCAAGTGCTGCAGGTCAAGGTGGGGTTTCAAAATTTAGGATGTCCCTTGAGGAACGTGGGTCAGGCCCCAGCTGGTGCATGGTATCTGTGCTCTGATCTGATGATTCTGAGCACCATTACCAGTATGTGTTGGGGGGGAGGGGTTCCGATCACACAGCAGAGGTGAAGGCAACACAGTGAGTGTTCTCAGAGCAACAAACCCCACTCAGGTCCAGAGAAGAGGCAGGAGTGCTCCTTCTCGCTGGCAGACATCAAAACCCTCTGCCTTTACAGTTTCTCTTGGGTGCCATCTTGGGAGGCGCCGGTGAGTGAGGCATGGACCTCACCCAGGGCAGCCCCTGTTCCTGTGGTTGAGAGTATGAGTGTCACCCCCTCCTGCCGGCCGTTGCCCTGGGCCTTCTGTTGGGTATGTATCTATGAGCCTGCTCTGCACCAGGCTCTATCTAAAAGTTCCTATGTGGCAGGAAGTAGAATGAACAAAGTCCCTCCTTATGGAGCACGTCAGGCTGGGGGGTCTGGGGAAAGACTCTTTTGTAAAGAATGGTCAGGGAAGACCTCTCACCAGAGGAGTATCTGAGCAGAAATTCGAGTGGAAGGAAAGACCCACACAGACATCAGGGAAAGAACCTTCCCCATCAAGGGAAGGCTCAGCCCCAAGAGCTGCAGGAGGACGAGGCCCGTTGCTCCTGCAGCTTCTGCAGCAGTGTCCCTGCTCCCGTCACCACCTTGCCTGCCAGCCCTTCCCTTCTGCCACTCCTGTGCATTTGGTGGCCCTCTCTTCCTATGCCATACCCCTATTTTCGGTCTCATTTCAGTGTTACCTCCTCTTGGAAGCTTGACTTTCTCTCATAAGCTTTCTTTGGGCCCTCTTTACCCATGCCATACATATTGTGTTAAAACGGTGCTCCCTCGTGTCATTCTTCCCCATTGATCTCAGCGGATCCGATTCACCCGCCCATGGCAGGCTCTGGATAAATGAGCACTGGTGGGATGACAAGCACAAGGTATTTCCCCTCAAGCCAGTCTCTCTGTCAGAGGCATGGAAATGAATTCCCAGCACAAGGGATCTCCAGGCTTGCATCCAGCCCTGCCAGCCCAGGGGAGCAGGTCCTGCTGAAGACAGCCTTCTCCAGGAAGGAACGAGTGAGCAAGGGCTCCACCCCCACCCCCAGGATGCGTCCTCCCCTGCTTCTGGGTCTGGAGATTGATTTTGCTTACCTACCTCCAAATGCAGCCACCTCTGGGGAGGAACTCGGCGTCTGCTTAGTAGGCCAAGCAAATAAAACAAGCCACTGAGGAGAGGGAGTGGAGGCCCTGTGTCCCTCATAGCAGTGAGGAACTACAGGGTGGCAGAATTTAATGACTAGCAGAGCCACACCAGACATAGCCCTCAGCAGCACCAAAGAAGGTGACCTGTCTTCCCTCCCACCTCCCGCTAGGCCACCACTTGTCCAAGCCTGGGCAACACCAAGGAGGGGCTCAGCTTGTTCATTCTGGCCCAGACAAGGTGGTGGCTACCGGGTGCAGACTTTGGGCATGAGCAGTGGCCTTGCAGGGCTTGTGAGGGGCAGGAGGAAGGGGCTGTGGAGCCAGGCCTCCTAGTCCAGCTCTGTTGAGTGTCTCTTGCTAACAGCCCAGAAGAGGAGACAGATGCCACCTGAATTAAATTCACAGCTGAAGTGATGTGGAAGGTGGTGTGAGTGCCAGGGAGGCCACCCTGGCTGTGTAGGAGGGACCAGCAGGAGACAGAAGGAGCAGCCAGTGCTCTGAGGACACGGTCTCCAGCAGCCTGGCTCCTCAGGGCCAGAGGTGTCGGTGGGCTTCGCAGAGCCCCTCCTTCCCTGCGTAGGGCAGGAATTGGCCACAGACACTGCCAGCCTCATGGGAATGGGCGCTGAGGCCTGGGGGAGAGGAGGAGCAGCTGCTAGCACCGGCATACCCCTTCCTCCACCTTGGATTGCCCTCCGCATTGGCCACCCTGGCTGTGCTGCGGGCCCCTCCCATGGGGCAGTGTTTCCTCATCCAGCCCAGCAGGCTGACCACAGATGAGGCTGAACCTGGCTTAGAAGGCTAGTCACTGCCCCGTTGCCGGTCGGCTCTGGGAGTGGGGCCACTGTCTCGGCAGCAGATCCCGGAAGAGGGTCACCCACAGGACTGTCCATGTCAGCCTGGTGAGCCACCTCTGGGCAAGCCTCTTGGTGGTAGTTGTTGACTCTGGAGTCCCTCCCACCCGCCCCCTTTATTCAGGAAACAGAAGGCTTCTTGACATCCCCAACGCAGGGGAACCCTGTGGAGGCTGGCAGGGCACGAAGACTCTTTGTGTGGCTTTTCCAGGGTGGTATTGACCTGGTTTCCAGACAGGCAGTTGTAAGGGGGGCAGTCACCCTAGCCTCCACACCTGAGGGGCAGACAGCCCACAGAGTAGGGGCTGGATGCGAATCTGCTGAGCATCTCCCCCATGCCATTCCCTGCCTGTGTCCCCTGTCTCCGCAGGTAAAACAAGTCCCAGTCCTTCCAAGTCCGGCAATTGCGTGATTTCCTGAGCTGCAGGACCAACCTGTGGATGCCCACCTGTCCTGCCCTGTGCCCTGGACAGCACAGGCCCCACCCTGTACCAGTTTGTACCTCCAGCCTCACCGGCCTCCACCTGCAGCCTCCATTCTGGCCTCAGTGCCTGAATCCAGATGGAAGGGTGGGTCCCAAGACTTCTAAGACCATCGTGTGCTTCCAGACTGTGGTGGCCAGGCCAGGAAGGGTCACTGCTGCTTTGTTTACATGAAGAGGAAGCTCGACTAGTGTCTGCTCTCCGTTATATACCTGCCCCTCCCTCCACTGGGTCAGCCCTGCCCGCCATGTCCCTGGGTAGGGAAAGGGCCATGTCTTTGTGCCCTAGTAGGAGAAGTCTCTGGGTCAGCTCCAGCCACCTGGTTTCTCTTTTTCTGGGCTTCCTGGTGCTTTTTGGTTGCTCCTACCAGGAAGGACAGGGTTCTGAGTAGGGGTCCCCAGTTCCAGTCTTGCTCCAGCCTTAGAACTACCAGTAGAAGGAGCATCTGGGACAGCTGGGGCACTGGCTGCTGTGGCCTTCCTGGCCTAGACCTACACTGGGCTCTGAGGGAACAGAGGGGAGGACACCGGCCTCCCACAGTCAGTGGCAAGTTTGGACCCCGCCCATGCAAAAGTCCCTTCCCTCCCCAACCCAGCAGGCGGGGTTGGTACTCCAGGCCTCCTGGGCAGGTGCCTGCTACAGCCCTCCATGGGTTCTTGGAGGGCCTGGCCTGGGCCTCCTTTCAGTTTGCTTTGGTTTGCAGCCCAATGAAGGGAAAGAGAGGGTCCCAGGTGATGGGGAACTGGACTCTAAAGACAGGACAATTTTCCCCTTCCCCCTAAGATGGTCATGGGTCCCCTCCACCTACAGAACTTCCCCAGTTACATTTCAGCCAAAGACTAGCCTTAGCCTCCTGTGACGTATTGGGCTCTGCTCAGGGGCCTCGTCCCCCCCAAGCAGGTGGCCTCTGCCACGGTGCTGGGCGAGGGCACCCAGTACACAATGCCCCTCCCCACCCGGTGACTGGTTTAAACAGTTCTGGAAAGTGCTTCCTTATGCACCAAGGCCTGGCCATGTGACGCATCTCTTTCTAGAGAACAGAGGAGATGTGAGAGTGGGGGCCAAGCCTTAGCTCCAAGTGGCCCCTTAGAGGTGAGGGACACGAGAGGCCTAAGCAGGCAGCTCAGCCAGCTCTTGTGCCGCCCGGAGGTGGGAAGCTGGCCTGCTTTACCCTTCTTCCCTCTCCTTCATGCAGGGCCAGGAGAGACACCTAGCAGGGTCCCTGTGGAAGTTCCAAGTCACTGCAGCCTAGAGCCAGCCCTCCTTTCTGCCTCAGTTTCTCCATGTGCCAAGATGGGGCTTTTCTCACTTTCTGTAGGACTTAGGGGAAACCATATGTTAAAGAGGAAGCGACTGAAGGTGGGGCAGAGTGCCGACCCTTAAGGGGGGTTCCCCCTGCAGGCCCTCTCCCCTCCAGCCTGTTTCTTCATCCTTTCCGAGGGCTGGCTCAGATGGTCTCTGGCCCCCTCAAGCTCTGAAAATGCTCAGGAAACTACAGTGCAGAGATGGCCAGGGACCGTGACGTCATAAAATGCAGCTCTTACTGTTGGCTTGTCGGCCTAAGCTTCCACCCACTCTGTTCTGCCTCTTGGCTTCTCAGTTTCGGGTGCGTCTGCCCTCTGTTCCAGCACGTGCACGCACTTGGTGAACTATGCTCCCCCTCGCCACATCTCAGGAGGACATCTGGCCTTCCCAGTTGGGGGGCAGGTTCAGGGGTAGATGGTGCCCTTGGACCCAGCCCAGCTGCTTCTGCAGGCTGGCAGCATGGCAAGGGCTGGAGGAGGACAGATTAGGAGGGCCCTCAGTGTGGGGCCCTGGCTTTGTGGCCCCCCACCCCACCAGGCCACTGTCTCGCCTGCCAAGTGCAGAGACTGCAGGTTGAGGGTTAGTGCAGCCCTGGAGAAGGCCAGCCTCCCGGTGAGCAGAGCCCCTGGTGTTGCTGCACCCTGGCTTCTACCCCACAAGGGCAGGAAGCCCAACTTCTGTATGGGGCTGGTAGACTGTCCCTTGACCTATGTCACCTGTAGTATCTGTCCTCAGAGTGTGGTTAGTCCTACCTCTGATCTATCAAGGGTATTTCTAAGACAGCCTCTGCTAACATCAATACCCTGCGCCTGTAGAGAACTTGATGGAAAGTCTAACAAGAAGGGAAGCCTAGACACAGGAAGAGGCGAGAGGGGGAGCGGCTCTGTCGCCCCCACCACACTGCTTTCCTCTTTTATTAAATGCCTACTATTTGCCGATCACTGTGCCAGGTGATTTAGGAACATACAGGTCTCAAACTAAGAACAGCTGAGGAAAGAGCCCTTTTCAAAGTCATCAAATAATTTTCATGTGTATTTGGGGCATGAGCCTCGTCGGGTTGTGTGTTGAGCCGCATGAGGTGTGATTGCCATTTCTCAGGTGAGGTACACAGCTCTCCCAAGTCCCTCATCACATAAAATACAGTTCTGGAGCTGTACCTCAAGCTCAGACTCTCAGCACTAATGACACTTTGGAGCTGCCAAGTCCTCTGTTGAGGGAGGGGCTGTGGTAGTATCGAAGGCTGTGGAGACATCCTTGCCTCTACCTGCTGCATGCCACAATGTCTCCAGATGTCACCCAATGCATCGGGTGGGGGTGTAAATCCCCTCTGTTTAGGGCCCCTGCTTTCTACTTTGAGGCTCCGACAACCACAAATGACTTCTTGAAAGGCGCTTCCAGGCTCTCTGCCCTGTGTCTTGGACAGAGCGCTCGTCGGAGGTGTCTGACGTGCCTGAGATTTTGACTTCTGGGACAGCTCTCCGAGAGGCATCCTCCAGTTTCAGCCTAGTTACATTGATTAGCTCTTCACTGCCATGCTCACCCCAGAACAGGTGTGTTTCTGTGCACCCATCTGCCTTACTGCACTCTGTTCCTTGTCCGGTTTCCTCCCAATCTGCTGCTCTTCCTGAGTCTCACCTACACCCCACATGGAAAGTACCCTGGGGTGTGCCTGTGTGTACCCAGCAGTGGCCCTGTTCCAAAAGCAGCCAGGGCTGATGGCAAGAGAGCCTCCAAACTCAAATCAGGCCAAGGATTTGCTACCTGGTTGTCATGGCCACATTCTGAATAAACATCAACAAAGCCCCCTCTGCAGCTAATTAGCCCTGCCTTGCGCTGTGGATTCAGTTTGTCATCTGGCAACGTGCCACACTGTGCCACACTCAGGCCTTCCTGCCCCAAAGACGCAGAGGCTGTCATTGATCATCTGCACTGCTGTTCCAGCTGCACAAGCTTTGCCACAGGACAGACACACACCCTGGGCTCAGTGAGCTGAGCCTGACCAAGGTTGGGAGCGCATACACCTTAGACAAAGGCAGGAAGCTGGTGCAAATGTGTTTTTAAGCTAATTGCAAAGACTTCCCAGTTAGGCATGCACTTCAAGGCTTCTACTCTCCCACCTGTGCAGCAAGGAAGATACCATGTGCTGCAGCAGGACATCACAGGTACCCATTCTTTAGGGTTCCTGAACCTGGAGAACAGGTAGAACAGCTAGACCTCACCTGTCTAGCTCACTGTTGTAATGCAGTATTTGCTTCATACCTATTTGTTAAAAGATTGAAGACTTGAAAGTCACTTAAAACAGAAAATAAGCCAGACTAACAAACTGGTGAGGCGTCACCAGCCACAGTGGCAATCGCCTGTTATCCCAAATGCTCAGGAAGCTGAGGCAGGAGGATGGCAAGTTCAAGCCCAGCTTGGGCCACTTAGTGAGACCCTGTCTCAAAAACTAAGTCCAAAGGGCTGGGGATGTACCTCAGTGGTAGAGCATTTGCTGGGCATGTATGAGGCTCTGGGTGCACACCTCAGTACTAAGTAAATAAATAAATGGGAAATCAATCATGATCCTTTCAGCCTTGTTCCTGATTTTGCTACACAGTACACGAGATCAAATGAGACCCTGCTGTCTGCCACTTAGTTTCTTAAGGCCTGCACTTATCCCTCCTCTCGGAGCATTTCTCCTGTCACTGTGTGTTCTAAGCGGAGTCTTCATCTCCCAGGCCCTCAGACTGGGTAGAACCATGGCTCCAGGCCCCTGGCTGCTCAGAAATGGCCCTTGCTGTGTGTATCCTTTCAAAATGCTCACAGAATTGGGAGGAGGAAAGGAGCCTCCTGGAGGTGAGATTTGTCCAAAGCCACCCAACAAGTCATGGGAAGGGCGGGCTGGCAAGGGCACCCAAGAGCACTTTCACTGCGCTGAGTGGCCTCTCTCCAGGTGACCGGTCGAAAGCTAGTTTCCACCTATGAAAGTGGTTAGGAGACAGGGCCACGTCTGCAGTCACTAAAACGCAGCTTCGGGAACAGATGTCCACGTCGTAGAAAGAGACTGACTAGGACCCACTGCAGATGCCAGCAAATGCATGGGAGCCTGAAAGAGGAAAAGCAGCCAAAGGCAAGAACAGGCCCTGAGCGGGGAGAGTCCATTGTGTGCCAAGAACTGTGCCTGGTGACTCTCATTTCCTGTGTGCGGCCTTGATTCCCTGTCTCGTCTCTTCCTGAAGGTGTCTTGGAGTTTAGATGACTGGACAGGGAGAGGGCAGTTCATGGTGGCCGTTGGAAGGCCGTGCATGTTTGTTCGTCCCGTGGATACGCACTGGGTGCCTGGCCTGGGAATATATGGTGAGGGAGGAAGACGCTGGTCTTCTGGTGGCGTGGCTGGCTGCATGCTGCTTGCTGGGACCTTATTGGCATGTATGGTGGAGAGGACAGGCTTCAGGACAGAGAGGCATGTGGAATCCTCATTCTGCCACTGAACGGCTAAAGCCCTGGCAAGCTAGTTCACATTCCTAAATCCTGGTTTCCTCGAGTGTCCACGGGGCTGATCTGAGTCCCTGTCCTGAGGCCAGGGAATAGTCACATAGAGTGCCCCAGCCCGAGGATGAACTCGGGAGAAGCACCCACCCAGGAGTGTTAGATCCAGGTCTTGGGATGTTCTCTCCTGGATTCTCTCCCTGCCCCGCCCCCTGCATATTTGCCAATTATGCAGCTGAGATTCTGGCACACGGGGCTAAACACCCCTAGCCCCCAACACATGGCCCTGCCTCAGAAAGAGCTGCAACATTAGCGGGTGGCACAAAAATCCCACAAGTTTTTTTTTTGTCTTTTTAATCTTATGTTGTTTATTTATTTTTATGTGGTGCTGAGGATGGAACTCAGTGTCTCACATGTGCAAGGCAAGCGCTCTGCCACTGAGCCACAACCCCAGCCCCACAACTTTTCTTGATGGATAGTTTTGCGTGAAATGTTAATTTAGTTTGAGAATCCTTTGAATATAAAATACAAATAAACCTACATCAGGGCTTGGGGATCTAGCTTGGTGGTAGAACTCTTACCTAGCAGGGGTGAGGCCTGAGTTCCATCCCTAGCACTATAAAAATAAGTAAATAAATAAAATAAAACCTAAGAAACAACATTTCCAGAGAGGCTGGCCAACCCTGCACCCAGCCACAACCTTTTCCAAGCCCCTGTCTGTGTGCCGTGTGTGCGCCACTTTGCCCGGCCTTAAAAACGGTTTTTATTTATTTATTTATTTATTTATTTGGGGGGGTTTCCTCTAGCCTCTCCCAATAATGACTCCACTGGCTGTCCCCTGGCTGCACTGGGAAGATCCTGACGTCCCTCTGGTGGCCCTGAAGAACCTATGTGCTGGCTCCTTGGAGGAGCCCAGGCGGCTGGCGGCACTGTGGGGAAAGGCTGACCCCTTGTGGCCAGCTGGCAGCTCGAGTCCTTCCTCTGGGGCAGATGGCAGGGCCGGGTTGGGCAAGATCTTCCTGCAGAGTCTGAGTAAATACTCCAGGTTTCTCAGACACACGACTTCTATCGCACCAAAGCCGTCACAGACCAGCTGTGAAAGAGCGGGTGCAGCCGGGGCGTCTGTGAGACTTTTTGGATGCGGAAATTTAGATCTTACATAATTTGTATGTTCCACAAAGAATTATTCCTTTAAATTGTTTTTAATCATTTAAAAATATAAAAACCAAGACAGAGGGTGTAGCTCAGCCTGTAGACTGTGTGCTTAGCCTGTGCAAGGTCCTGGGGTTCCATCTACAGCTGCCCCAAATAGATAAATAAAAATGTAAAACCCATTTTTAAGGCGCACACCTAGAATCCCGGCTGCTCTGGGAGTAGCAGGGGAGTGGATTGAGGTTGGGGAGTGGATTGAGCCCACAAATTCAAGACCAGCCTGAGCAGCAGAGTTAAACTCTTTCCTTTTTAAATATTTATTTTTTAGTTGTAGGTGGACACAATACCTTTATTTTATTTTTATGGGGTGCTGGAGAGCGAACCCAGGGCCTTATGAATGCTAGGCGAGTGCTTTACCGCTGAGCCACAACCCCAGCCCGAAACTCCTTCCTTAAAAAGAAAAAAAAGAAACATTCTTACCTCACAGGCAGTGCCCAAACAGGTGGCAGGCTGGCCTCTGGGCCTAGGACACCTGTCCTCCATGCCTTTGCTCCCAGCACCACCTCCCAACCGTCCTACCTGTCATCTTTGTCAGTGTTTTGTCAGGAGGAATCCAGGAGTTCCCCTCCCTCATCAGAAGCTGGGGAGCCGTTACTGGTTTCCACCCATGTCATCAGTTCACAGAGGTGCCCATTAGCTGCCCCGCCCTTGCCAAGGCACATACGAGAGCCCAAGTTTTAAGCAACATTTACTTCCTACTTTTATTCATTCATTCCTTCATTTGAAAAAGCTCATTGAGAATTTTCTGTACCCCAGGTGCTATGATAAGTCAGAACTGGTCTCTGTCCCCAAAATGTTCAGTACCTGGTTGGGAAGAAGGACCCAGGGAGGCAAGTGTTATGGTGGAGAGGCTCAGGAAGTGTGGAGCCCAGAGGGGGCACTCAGCCTGGAGTGTAGGTCAGGGGAGGATCCAGGAAGGAGGGCGGGATCTCTGAGCTACCCTTGAGGAGTTCAAGGAGAGGAAGGAGGCAGGCAGGGAAAGGTGCAGCCCCTATGTGGAACTCTTAGTAAAATCCCAAGCATCAGGCAATCAAGATGGTGAAGACTCCATCAGGGCAGCCAGAGGATCTGAGGGGAGGAAAAGGGGTGGGCCTTGCTTTCCACTCTGCTAAAAGCCTGGAGAAGGGAGGAGGGTGTAGAAATGTAGAAGGGGGTGCAGGATAAGGAGGAAGCGGCATACTTGGCATAGATACAGAGTAGGAATAGACAAACTCACCAAGGAAGGGCTGGGCATGGCCCCACTGAGGAGTCCCTTGGAGGAAACCATCCCTCACTGGGCACCTTCTCCTTATGAGTCTCACAATAACCCTGAAAGGTAGCTATGATTTTTTTTTTTCATATCTACCAATTAAAAACTGTGTGACCTTATGCAGTTCTTCTTCTCCTCTTCCCTCATCTGTATTTACCTCCTAAGATTGTTTGAGGATTGACTAAATTAACATATGTGAAACATACAAGGGCCCATTTTCTGGTCATGCAACCTGTGGTGTCCACAGGACTCAGAAGGTGAGGGGTCCACATTTGGTTTAATGCTCTGCCGTTGCCACCTTGCAAATCTTCATAATTTGGAGCCCTGTGCTTTCATTTTGCACTGGATCCCACAATTATATCCCCAGTCCTGCCTGCCAGAGTATATGCTTTAAAATATTAAGTTTTATCATTATCTTGGGGTTGAGAATAACAAATGTGATTTGATATATTCATTTTAGAACTAAGGAAACTGAAGCTGGATAGTTTATGTGACCTGCACAGAGTTAGATGCAAGCAGGCTCAGAACAAAGGCTGGAGATGAAGATGGTAATCTTCGAGGTGAAGGCAGGATACTGCCCTGGCTTCCCCCCACCCTGTGCCCTCAGAGGACCACATAAGGAGGGAAGTGCACCCAGGCACTTTGAAGGAGCCCAGAAAAAGAGATGGTAGGAAAAAGAGCATGAACAGTTGTAGAGGTAGGAGGAAAGCTGGCTATTTTGGGAAGCAAAGTAAAGATTCTCAGAGTAAAACATAGTGGTGAAGCCATGGAAACAAGGACTGGGAAAGTCTCTTGGATCTTGGCCACAAAAAAAGGTTATAGATGAGCTTAGAGAAACAAGTTTGAGTAGCATTAGGGCTAGAAGCCAGGTTTACAGAAGGGAGCTTGGTAGTGGTAGAGACGGTCACTGGTTATTATTTAAGAAGTTGGGCTATGGAAATAGAAAAGGGAAGTAAGGAATGAGGAGGAGAGGGAGGGAGGGAGGGAGGAAGAGAAAAGGGAAGGAAGGCAGGCAGGGTCTCTGAAGGGCTGGAAGGAGAGCAGATGCCAACTGGGTTACAGAGGAAGAACGTCCAGAGGCAGCAACTTCGCCAGGGAGCGGTGTGCCTCTTTCCCTGAGTCTATAGGAAAAGGAGGGTGGAGTATGTGAATAAAGACTATGGGGGCTTCTGTTCTTTTGGGGGCTGGTTGTCTCCCCAGCTGTGCTGTGGAGTTCTTACTGTAGACATCTCTGGGCACCACAGCTGTGTGTGGCTCAGCTCACTCACTGGAGTCAGACTGCCCGGGTTCAACTGTGGATTCAACAACTACCTGTGGTGACCTGGAGCAAGTTACTTGGCCCTTCAGTGCCTTTGTTTTCCTATCTGGAAAATGGGGATAACCATGGTTGCTGTGAAGCACGACTGCCACCATTCGTGCAAACCCCCCAGTATGGGGTCTGACAAACACATGCACATGTCCAGGACAGGACAGTGATTATTAACAACAACATCTCCTTGCCTTCTTGTGAAACCCCTCCCGTGCATCTAACATTGGCCAGCATGCTGAAGGGTTCCAGGGTTGGCTGCTTGACTAAGTAGCTTTCAGGAAGTGTGGTCATAAAAAATGAGGGGTGATTTGGAAGTGGCACAGCGTCTATCTCAAGGGCTTTGTTGCACAGTAAACGCCACAGACATGCAATAAATGCTTATGAGCATGCCCTTTGTCGTTGGCACACACTAGTATGTTCCTCTCCCACATTGATCCTGGTCTTTGGCTATTGCCACACCCAGGCCCAAGTGAGCAGTATCAGGTGATAGCTGTCCTCTTGTCAGGTTTCTTGACAGGGATCATCCTATTGTTAGAAGCTTCAAGAATTGCAGAATACTTTACAAGCACTGCCCAATGTCTCATAGCAATGAGAGGCCAGGACAAAGTGTGGCGGGTGTTCTCCTGTGCCACAGAAATCAGAGCTGGAGTAGAACCAGCTGGCTATGTTGTCCCAAGGTTGGGTCACTGCAGAAGTGTTTGCCAAAAATCCCCACTGCCTTGGATTTTGTCCAGGCCAAGGGCAGAGATCACAGCACAATCTCTCAAGGGACAAAAAGGAAGACTGTTGCTTTGGATGGCTTGGAGCACTCTTGGTCACCATCCAAGGCAGCTATCACTCATTAAATCTGCCTTCCCTTCCAGCAAAAAACCAACTCAATGGAACACCACATACAGAACTCTAAGAATGGTATAGTGCTCCAAGAACACAGTGCCCATGCCTGCACACAAGTGTGCAGGGCTCGAGGGGTCTTTTTACACTCAACTCTGGTTGGGTGGGAACAAACAAAAAATATTAACCCTGAATAGCATGCAGAGAGAGGGAGAGTATAGGAGAGTAACCCAGCATTTCATTTTCTGATCTGGGCTGCCTTTAAGGGTATGGTTTGTGGCCACAATCACCAAGTCGTGCCTGAAAGCCCTAGGGCAGTGAGGGTGAGCTCAGCGGACACCCTCACCCCCTTAGCTGAACATTCACACCAAGCTGAGCAAGCCCCAGAGTCCTCACACTTCATGAGACAGAAATTTGAAACCCTCATCCTCTGTGATAAATATTTGATTGATTTATTGGCTTCCTTCTTATCCAGACAGAAAATGAGGACAGGTTCCATTCAGAGCTGCACTTTAGAGTAACAAAAGCTCTCAGAGCCCAGATATGACCCTGCACCACATCCCACTGTTCGAAGAAGAAATCCATGTGTGGATCTAGTCATGAAAGAGTCTGGGGAGACATTCTCCTTAATGGGTGGCTGGCCGTAGAGATGGGATTATGGAAAGCTTTTATTTTTTACTTTTTAACTTTTTATGCTGTCTGAAATATAGAATACCATATTAAATTGAGTAAATGTCATATATTTATTCAGTGTTACTTCTATGATTAAAAAAAAAACACCTAGCAATCTTGTTTGGAAATTATTTCCCTATTCTTAAGTGGACAACTATGACAAGGTTTCAGGCTTCCCATCTTCTCCCAAGGAGAGAAGCACAATGAGGCAGAATGGTCAAATAATCGATGGCCTTCAAAGACAAAGAATATAGGAATAACGGGCTTTGGCCGCTCCCAGATATTCCCATCCTGTTCCCTAACCCCAGAAAACAAATGCTACAGTTAACAACACATCTTCAGACTATTGCCTGGCTAACAGGCAATAGTCTTTAGTTTTCTTTGTAGATGGCACTTTAATTTTCTTTTATATGTCACTTTTTTCTGGTTAGCTATCCCTGGAAACCCCTGACCATCCCATGTGCTTCTAGGGCCAATTGTCCCAGCACTACACTATGATTGTCTGTGTACCTGTTGCCTGCGCCTTCCCAGACTAAGGTTCCTGACCATAAGGAAGGTGTACAACCCTTGTTCCCTAAGCAAGTGCTCCACATGTTTGCTAAATATTTTCTGAACAATTATCTATTTGGGAACCTTTTATGATCAGAGCAATGTAAGGGATACAAAGATGAAAAAGAGATTATTTCAGTATAATTACAACCGGGATATATCCAACAATTAAATATAAAACTAAATACTAACTAGTGCATGCCTCTAATCTCAGTGACTTGGGAGATTGAGGCAGGAGGATTGCAACTTTGAAGTATCCTGAGCCATTTAGTGAGACACTATCTCAAAATAAAAGAGGGCTGGGGATGTGGCTCAAGCAGTAGCGTGCTCGCCTGGCATGCGTGCAGCCAGGGTTGGATCCTCAGCACCACATACAAACAAAGATGTTGTGTCCGCTGAAAACTAAAAAATAATTTTAAAAAAAAGAATACAAAGGGGTGAGGATGTAGCTCAGTAGTAAAGCCCCTGAGTTCCATCCCCAGTACAAAAAAATAACAAAATTAGCATTATTTTAAGGGTTAAAATAGGGGTACAATCAGTCAACTTGAATGTTAGGAAGGTTTTGGACACCACATTCTTTGTGTTTTCTGGTTCAAAATGCTCAGATTTTTGAATGCTGGTATGGGGCATGTGTGTGGAGCTGTAAGGATTCAGATCCTTAGAAACTTTATTAGAATGTGACTCATGATCTTTCTTCTGCCCTTGCAGTTGCCCTAGGAATACCTGCCATTTACTCTTAATTAATGTTTGTGAAATACTTTTGTCTTCCTTTACTTAAAGGTCATAAGTGTTATTATTATGTTACTGTGGTTGTTTTATTATTAAAGCAGTGCCAATGAGATTACACAACAGCTTGGATTAGGAAGTAAAACAAGGGCCATGATCCCACTGAAGCTACAGGGGATAGGGATTTGGGATGGTAAAATGGTAATTACCCCTGACGGAATGTGGGCTAGAGTCCAGCATTGTGCTCCTGAAGATCATTTCGTCCCAGAGGCTTAGGGCTGGCCCTCTGGCAATGGGTCCGAAGCATCCTGCCCTCCCCTGGCTGAAATATGGAAAGCTGTCACAGAGAAAAGAACCCAGTGGCCATAAGCCAGGAGCACAAGGCTTGCTTGGCATCAGCTCCCTGGAAGCTTTCCAGGAGCTGAAGGGCTTTTTCATTTGCAAGCAATCAATTATTTATTTCTAAGGCAATTTCTCTCTCTCTCTCTCTCTCTCTCTCTCTCTTTCCTTGTTTCCAGCTCTTGAGGACTCTCTCCAAGGAACAAGCTGAAGATGGATGGATGGTAAGGGTTAGTATAATGCACATGCACACATGTTCTGGGCACACGAGGGTGGTAGAAATATCCATTCTTAAATCTGAAAAGAAAATGATCATAGATGCAGGCTATTTGTCATGGAAAGATCAAGACTAATTGAGGGTGGATAAGTAGAGGCAATGACAACCTTGCTATAGGTAGTCTCCAGCAGTGTCACTGCCAGAAACTGATTGAGGAACCTGGCATCTGAATGAAATGTTTTTAAAATATTGGGTTGATTGACGGGTACGCTTATGAACTCAAGAAGAGGCACTAAAGCATAGTGAAAAGAGTGAAGGCTCTGGAATCAGATACAGGACATAAAGAAAGGCCCGCCAACTACTTTGTAACTGGATGACCTTGGGCAAATTTCCTAACCTCTCTCAAGCCTTCATTTCCTACCTGTAAACCTCAGTGTGTAACTCACAGGTTTAACCAGATGTTCTCTGTAAAGAATTCAATACAGTACTTGGAACAAAACTCGCACAATAAATGGTAGTCATTATTATCAACTACTGGTCAACTAATCAGAGTTGCTCCCAGCTCCCTTCTAAACAATTAACTGCAGCACAGCAAATCCGGGTCTGAAGGACGCATTTGTGTGCCCAATAAAGAACCAGGAAAGAACTCAGTGGAGTCAAACCAATGGCATCAGCCCTTGTTGTGAGCCGGGCTTTCTTGCTGTCCCACCAATGGTTTGAGGATTTGACTTGCGAGCGACATCCTGACAGTCCAATGACGCAAAACCAGCCCACACTCAACACTTCGGTGGGGATAAATCAAGAAGCCGGCACGTATAGATTCCGTTATTAGGCAGTATTGGATGGAGAGAGGAGCTTAAAGGAAACAGCGCCTGGGAGAGGCATTGATGAACTAAAAAAAAGAAAAAAGACGATGGTTGCGCCAAGCAAGCTCGGCCGCCATCATGCTCTAGTTTCCCCTTTGACTCTCTGGGTCCGCCACCGAGGAAGCGGCCTCTGGGATGCTGAGGGGGTGTGTCTCCGCGTGATTGGCGCAGGCCGTTCAGCCAATCCTAGATCGTCAAACGGGAAGCACTTAGCCAATGAGGGGCAACGGCAGCGGCGAGGACTTGGAGGGGCGGAACAGCAGCTTGACGGGCACAAAAACCAGCCAGTGAGAACCGGAGGCAACCTCCCTACAGCCAATGGAGTGGAGCTCTGGGCGGGCCCCCCAGTGTTTGTGTTGTGGTTTTGGGGGAGGGAGGCGGAGGGGAAAGTTTGTTTATTTTGTTTTTAGTTTCTGGGGTCCCCGAGCTTCTAGAAGGTGAAGCGGGAGGGAGTAAACCCCACGCCCCTCGGTCCCCCTGCGACGTCGCCCACATAGCCTGCGGAGAAGCGGGGACCTCACGCCTCGTCTCGCCTCACAGCGGAACGCCGCGCACTCGGAGCCGGCGCGATTCCGCGGTGAGTACTGTCGGCCGCGCCGTCCTTCCCCTCCCCCGCGCACCGCCCAGTCCGAGTGGGGCGCCCCCGGGTGGGCGAGGGCGCCCGCGGGGGCGCGCGGCGCGGCTGAGACGCGGCATGTACGTGTCCTCGCGACTGAGCGCGCGCGGCGGGAACGGGCCGGGCAGGGGGCGTGAGCGCGCGGGGTCGGTGCGGGCGGCTGCGCCCGGCGCGCGCCACGAAGCTGGCGTCGGGTGGATGGGAGTCAAGAGACTACCGGGGCCGCGGGCGACGTCCGGCTCTTGGGCCGTGGCGCCCGGAGTGGCCGGGCAGGGACGGGCGG